AAGATACAAAATTAATTAATAAAGTTTAATCAGTCTAATGATATTTTAATTAATTTAACCGTTTATTGCTTTATTTTAGCACTTTATGCATTCAAAAATTCAAATTAAACATTATCAAAATCTGAAGAGAAGTATCGGTGTTAAAGTGTGAAAAATTTTAATTTGATCAAAATCAATGTATGATAGAAAGAAATTTACTTACTTATGATCTCTAAGTATGCCATCATGATGCATGTCATCAATAAATGCATCAATGCATGCTGCAAGAATGTAACACGGAAAGGCAAAAAACACGGACCAACTTATTAACGCCGATTGCGTCAAAAATGCCACATAATGATGAATAATCATTTTTACAATATTCCACAGATCATTACTTTCATTTTTAATTATTTTTTTATGAGTAACTGTAACGATACGGTATTTCATTAGAAATAGAAAAAACAAAAAAAGGAAAAGAAAATTCGCAGTAATTAACTGTTAATTCAATTGGTTAATTTTTCCTTTTTATCTTGCAAAATATAATTTTCTTTTTTTTGAAAAATATAAAATAAAATTAATTTTGGAAAAAGATTACCAGCAGTAGTAATAACGGCTATAATACCCCAAAAAATTGTCAACCCAACCATTATTTTGCACATTCGATGAAGTCGTTTAGCATGTTGGAAATTGGGATCATATGCAGCTATCTGTTGTACAACAATTTTAATTAATCGATTAAAACTTTTTCTCATCCAAAAAAGAAATAATGAACAAATTCCACCGCTAGAAAATATAATCTTTTAGATAATAAAAAATGAAATGAAAAAAAGATTCATGTGAAATAAAATTTGACATATCATTTTTTTTTTGTCAAGAAAGAATGATAAATAATTATTTAAAATTATTGAAATATTAAATTTATCTGCAAAATGCTAACAATATAATATTTAAAGATTAAAATTTTATCAATTTCACTATTATTTGTTGGTTATATTCAATACGGCAAAAAAAAAAAATCGATCAAACTTACTTTGCAAGATAACATGCATGAATGATAGTAAATGCAAAATTAACATTAAGTTCAGTGAATTCTATGCTTGTTATAATAAAAGCCGAATAACCGTTCTATAATAAATACAATTCAAATTTATCCCATTTCAAGTTATTAATATGCTTAAAAATATGTACTTATTGTGATGTATAAGTAATATATGCTGTAATTAGTGAAATAATGTACAAATTTATACTTCTAATTAATTATCGCAATTGCAAGAATTAATGATAGTAATAATTTAATGAAAGTAACCATAATTATCATAATAATAATATTATAGATTATCAATGGATACTGCCATGAATGATTTTCTGAGTAGGAAGTTAATCCAAGTAGACGCATATATGTAAAAAGTGGTGCAAGGATCATTTCATATTGTTCATTCATCAATGAATCTATTTTGCGGTAACTTCGTTGCGAACATACTAAAATTTTATCATTTGAATTCTAACTTTAATAATTTCAAAAATCACTGATAAAATAATATCACTTATGATCTTTGATGAAACAATTGGAAAAAAAAACAAATAATCAATAATTTTCATAATAATTCAAAAAATGTTAACAAGCGAGGAAATTTTCAAACTTATGCAGAAATATTTGTTTTGTTTTGAATGCATGGAATTAGAAGGAAAAAACTCGAAACTTACTGGAAAGGCTGGAAGAAAAACGCGAGATTCCGGAAATAACGGAAATCCGGGAATGCTTTCGAGAAGTGATTCCGTTTTGATTTAAATTTGCCTTTAAGGTCATGAGAGATTTACCGGATGACATTAGTGATATTGACTCTTTTAAGAACCTAAAATATTACACTTTTTTATGATGAAAATAGCAAGAATTATTGAATTCCATTCCAAAACTGATCCTGTCATAATTTAAGTTTTGTTTTATTTCAACAGTCAATGCTATAAGTACGAAAAATGAAATGTGTAAAAAAAATTTTAGCGCTTATTAATCAAATTGGAATTACATAAATTGAAAATTAAATTTGTTTGGTATACAAAAAGAACAATATAATTGAATTCAGTTATCGAGGGTTTTAATCGGAATCATTTGAAATAGAGGGATAAATTTAAGGAAAACTTTAACCGAAAGTGGAAAATGAAGTTAACTTATGGTAGTTTGAAAGGGAGGAAAAGAACAACTTTTAATCGTTTTTCCTTTAAATATTTGCGTGTTTGTTGAAAATTTATTGCGGAATTTTTTGGATAATAACAATTCTTTGGAAAGAATTTTAAGTAATATTTTCACATTTCTCATTAGTTCTCACTCTTTTCTTGACATTTATATTTACAGCATCAAAATACATCAAATATTTTTTTTCCAGAATGGCCATAATATTTTGTTAGTAGAGAGATCAGTGATAAAAAGAAGCCAAGAGTTGCTCTTGGCTCTTTCTTTTCTAAATTTTACTTATCGATTTTATTATATTTTTTATAAACACCTCAAAATTTGATCCACAATTCATTGATCCAAATTTAAACTCTTTAAATATTTGGCATTTCCACATAAGTAAATGAGGTCTTTTATATCGTCAGTGGTTAGAAGAAGTCACAAGTTCCATGTGCTTTATTCTTTTTTTTTATCATAGCTTATACATACCCAAATTTTGAATGTTAAATTTAGAGTAGAATCCTATGTTCTCAAAGGATTCAAAAAAGTATGTCCCCAAAGATAATACTTAAGTTCCGAATGAAGTTGCTCATGAAGTTAGTCATCTTTTTAGCTTTAATCTTAATTTTACAATATCAAATAAAAAATTGTATTACATCAAAATACATATTTCGCCTTACATTAATGGACTAATTAATTAAGGATAATTGAACCATTGATGGATAATGCATTGAAAAATTCCAATGAGATTTCAATTCATTGCCACTTATTCACTACCACCCAAATGAAATAAGAAATTATGAAATTTAATGATCGAAATACTATAAAATTATTCAAATTTTATTCCATTCCATTTTGTTAGTTAATTATGCAACATTGATAAAATAGAAAACGTTTGTAATTCGAACATTCCAGATTGTACTAGCAGCATTGGGTTTTCCTAATTGTGGTTCTTTTAAGCGGTTTCATAAGCAGATATTGAAATTTCAATGGCATATTCTAGGTCTTTTGAGGATCGTTAAACGGTTAAGCATAAAAGGACAGTTTCTTCATCTTAGAAAATCTCGAAAATTAAAAAAAAGAGCTATTTCCAGAAAATCATGCAAATCGTGAAAATCGTATTAAGGTGCAATCTAAAATTACAACCACCATAAGACTGATTTCATCACCCAAACCCTTCATGACTTGTTTTGATCCGTTTACCTGATTCGTTTTCATTTAAAAAATCCCTAATTTTCAGGCTTAGGCGAAGGTTTAGGCTTGCTGAAAATTTTTCGAGGTTTTTGTCGTTTTTGATCAGATGTACTCGATCTCATATATTGATTGCTATAAAAAATCACTGATCATGGTAAGCATTAGTCATTATTATTGGAAGTATCCCTGATAGTAATACTTGTTCTACTGTCACTGCTATTTGCATTGAAACTTGTAATATTTGCATTGAAATTCCTCAAATCTGTCACATTTTGGATCAAATCAACAATTCGGCAACCCACTGATGTGAGACCATATTTGTGGTGGATTATCAATTGAATGAAATGTTACCTGTAAATGGTGCAACTGAAATGCCTATTATCTTCAACGGAACTGTGAGTTGACAAACGAAATGGATAAGTAACCCTATGAAATGATAGGAGACATCAAGTGGTCTGATTAAGATTTCCTTGCCAAAAATTCACTTCCATGTTATTTGTGCTATAATCAAGTGAGGAATTCATATGAGACAGTATCATTTCATCAGTAATTTAATAACAGTAACACTTAATTGCAAGTTCAAAACGCATGGCATGTAAGTAACCTGCTTGTTATATATTCACTAATAATGAAAAAGCTATTAAGATGCAAGTGGACACGAAACCAGGTACTTTATTCACTAAGAGAAATAATAAAGAAATGGTAAAGGAACGATACTAATGCCCAAATAAAGCAATACAATGATAACAATACAACGAGGAAAAACGAATTTATCTTACAGAAAATACAGCAACACCAGAAATAGCAATGCGCGTTTCGGTTTAAAATACATTTGTCAGTTCATCATATGATTCTTCAAATGTGATTTCAAAGTGGATTTCCACAGAAAAAATTCATCGCATAACAATGAAGTTGAATGTGGCCCTATCATGGAAATGAATCTTCATATGTGTTTTCAAATACTGTGATTGGGAGAAATTCTTGTTCCACTAAAAACAGCTAAACGGCTTCTCACCTGTGTGAGTCCTCATATGTGCAAGCAGATTGCATTTCTAAGTGAAATTCCTCGCGCATATATCACATTCAAACCGTCTCACACCTGTGTGAGTTATATTATTATATTTCAAGTTATATTTCAACGTGGCTTTTTGAATTTGAAAGTCATGCAGACCAGAGATCAACCATGTAAACCAGAGATCAGCCATTTATTGTCAATTTGATATCTGACATCGATCGGTCATGAAGGATCGCATAAACAATCGAATGTTTGATAACAACAAATTTAATAAAATAGCCAAGCCAATGAATACCAAATATATCATTGATATTTCAAATAGTATAATTTTGCCGTAACTCAATTCGAAAATTTCTCCATATGACTTGAACATGATCACTGTGATTTCTCGAATATGAATGTAGATAATAAGATATTGTTTGTTGCCGAAACGTTCAGAAATTGTTACTTTGGTGTTGTTAAAATTTGTGCTAATTGAAGAAAAGTTTGGCTAAAACTTAAATTTCAATTTCAAATGCAATTTCGAACTCAATCCATAGCTTTGTTTAGTCTTCAGAACATGTATAATCTTCAACAAATGCATTTGAAGGAAGAAAATTGGAAATATTTTCCAGTTTTGTGCAACAATTTTGAAAGCGATTATTGTGTTTATGCAGATTCCATGTTATTGTCAATGTTTTTTGATTGGCGACAGTATTTGTGTCTAGTTGAAAACTTTAAAAATTTAGTTACTTCGAAACAGATGTATCATTTTCCTTTTTCCCTATCATATGCGATTTAATCATTCTTTCCCACAGAAATATGTTCACTGCCGTTTTTTGGAAAAGGAAAAAATGAAGGAGAAGAATTGAATTTTGTAATTTTGATCAAACCAATCTCAACATTGAATCTATTTCAATAAATTTGTATAACATATCTGATAGAAAAAAAAAACGCCTAAGATAGCCACACACACATGAACATTCATAACAAATTTCAAAACTAAGCTTTAAGGTAGATGTGAAGTCCGAAAGAATGATTTCATGTTATTATTTAGCATATATTAATTAAAGGTATTAATTACAAATGATGAAGTAATGTAGTTTTACTCTCTGGTTAATATCACCTCAGTTTTGAAAGTTTGAAAAAATAGTAGCAAAGGGAAATAAAACTATTCAAGAAATGATGCAACAGCTTTGCATAAATTAATTTTGCGCAATGCAATATAGCAATTGAAATGAAATTGTTCAGCATTAAGGATTAAACAGTGATAGTTATTGTTACATTACTGTACGTGAGCATAGTTTATCGATACACAATGGCTACTCACTCCCAATGAAATTAACATTTATGCATGTGATCTTCGACCAATATCTAACAAAAATGATTGGGTAGTATATAGTGAAATTTTATTTTAGGCCTAACAGAAGG